TCCAGCAAAAACCCCTTCCAAGGCAGAGCTTTCCAGGCTGCAGCTCCATCTCACACACAGCATCTTAAGCAGCTATCAGGGATGGGCTGGGAGAGATCTCTTCTGTGTCTTCCCCTCCTCCTGGGGTCGGGAAAACCTCCATTTCTAAGGCTGAACCTCAGTTTGTTGTGACTTACTGGAGGTTTCCAAGAGGCCCTTCCACATTAAAACAGAAAATCATCCTCCAGAAAAGCTAACAGCCAATTTTAGACATGTTTTGAATTGGAAGTTTTGCTTTTGGGGCCTGAGAAGCCTTTCCCTTTCAATGTTTCCTTTAAAATAACTCCTCAATTTGTCTCTTCTTGCTTTTTCAAGCAAACTAAACCCCAGCCCAGCTCTCCTTTGATCCAGATATTCCAGCCAACCGAGATGAAACCCGTTCAGGTTACTGATTGCCTGAAACCATTCACACTGAGTGATAATTTCTTTGTTACTCTGAATTTCCAGTCCACCAACTGATCCGTGTGCAGCCCCCTGCAATCCCAGCCAGGCAGCACGGAACAGCCATGGCTGACTGAACTTCCCAGTCCCTACTGAAGGAGACAGGGAATGTTATAGGATGCTGTAGGATCCGGAGGCTAACCCCAAATTAGGGGAGGAAGATTCTGCACAGACTTAGGGTTCACCCCATTCTCAGCACCAAACTGGGACTATTCCACAAGGAAAGGGTACACAGGGTGACAATAAAACAAGGACAGGGCAGCATCCTGCATTTGTGTGTCCAGAGATGGGAACAGAGATGAGGAAGGGGCTGGAGCACAAGGAGCAGCTGAGGGAGCTAGGAGGGTTCATCCTGGAGAAAAGGAGGCTCAGGGGGAACCTTCTTACTCTCTACAACTCCCTGACAGGAAGGACATGCAGCCAGGTGAGGTCAGGCTCTGCTCCCAGGGAACAAGGGACAGGACAAGGTGCAATGGCCTCAAGCTGTTAAAGGAGAGGTTTAGATTGGAGTTTAGGGAACATTTCTCCACTGAAGGGGTGGTCAGATAATAGCACAGGCTGCCCAGGGTCATGGTGGACTGTTCAGAAAATGTGTGGATGTGGTGGTTAGGGACGTGGTTAATGTCAATGCTGAGTTAATGGTTGGACTCGATAATCCTGGAGAGTTTTTCCAACCCAAATGATTCTGTGAATTTAGGCTGGTTGTGGTGACAATTTCTCAGCATTGTTCCTTGCTTGGTGTGTCTAAGAGGCACAAACCTGTGTGCATGAAGGCTGTGCCATGATGAGCCCAGGGAAAGCATCAGTCTTGGAATCACAGAATCATTTAGGTTGGAAAAACCCTCCAAGATCATTGAATCCAACTGTTCCCCAGCACTGCCAAGGCCACCACTAACTGTGGCCCCAAGTGCCACATCCACGTGCCTTGCTGGCATATGTTTACCATTCAATAAAGCACTTGTCTTACATTGTGAGGAGCAAACTTGAAGGATACAGACATAGAGGGACAAACTGCCTGGCAGGGTCCAAAATCCACCGTGTTGATAAACCAAAAGGAAGTCAGAGGTCAGAGGATGATTAAAAGGCTAAAACCCCAAACAACATCTTGAGAGCCTCTGAGGGCTGAAGGGGTTTGATTTATCAAAGACAGGGCTCCAGGGTGAGGTGGTCTGTCAGAACTTGCAGGAGGATTAGGGGTGGGTAAGGGAGGGCTCCCAGGCTCCAGATAGAGGGCACCACAGCTGAAGTCAGTCAGATAAATCCAGGAAAGAAACAAGGTGCCAGGGCTGAGCAGATAGAGCTGCTTAATCACCAGGGTTTGGATCTCTAGCATCCTCAGGTCCCATCAGTGATCACCAGCCCAAGTGGTGATGATTTACCACAGGCTGGTCTGGACAGCACAGCCACCAGAGGGCCATGGCCAGGGGCAGTCCATGCTGGCAGCTGGCACCACCACTCATTCCTATGGGAAGTGCCCAGACAGCTTTGTGAACTCACCTAGCTGAGGGTGACAGCAGCATCAAGAATCCATTTGCCTCTAGCTCCCTCTTTCCTGGGATGGTGGGTGATGTGTATCTTGCTGGAGTTGTGATCCCCAGGTCTAGGCACAGCAGGGCTGGAGGGAAGCAGATGGGAGTTAAGAGCCCAATTCCCAGGGAAGTGCTGTGAAATTTGTCTCTGTTATTCCCCTAAGGCTTCTTGGCAGATTCCTGCCAGAGGAATTGTTATTGCAGGGAGCTGTGAAGCTTGTGCTGTGCCTGTGGAGCCTGGCACGGCTTGGAGTGGGGAAGGATCCCCTCTCTGGAAGGAAACTGCCTTTCCTCATCCCTGTTTCCCCCTCACAGACACTCCTCCGTGATGGCAAGAGAGAGAGCATCATGAGCACCCTTTTCATCGCCCCCTCCGACATTGAGAACGGGGAGAGCATCGTGTGCCGAGCCACCAACAAAGCCATTCCCAGCGGGAAGGAGACCTCGGTCACCATCGACATCCAGCGTGAGTACACAGCCAGCTGAGCCACCTCTGGGCACTGGGAGATCCCAACCTCCCTGCTCTCCCCATCGCTGCCCCAGGGCTGTCTGCATGGCTGACTCCAGGCAGGAGCAGGAGGATGGGGGTTTCCCTTTACTGGAATTTACTGGTAATTCAATATAGTGAAGTCACTACCAAGAGATCTCGTGTCCTGAGCTCACTGAGGCACCAAGGAACACCCACACCACAGAGATGTGCTGCTTCCCAGCTTTTGTCTTGTGTCCAAGGTTTTGAGCAAAGCAGCACCAGCTGCTGTGCTCTGAGTGCCCCAAATGTGCCCTGATCCAGGCCCTCAGGGGTCTTCGGAGCAGGGATGGATCCCAGTTGGGTTTAGGTGAGCAAACAACATCTCTGTTCATGGTCAATAGCAGAGGTAAGGCCTATTAAGATTTCTGGTGCAGTGTTTACAGAAACTTTCCAGTGTTACAGTCGGTTCAATGATATGTGTTTTGTATCATTCCCCACTGGGATGGTATGAGACACCTAATCGGGGGGAGTGTCCCTCCCGGGACACACAGCCAGTGCCAGTCAGCACCTGATGGGGTCAGGTGCGTGTTAGGAGCTCTATCACTTACTCTTTACCATAAGCCCACAAAGCAAAATCTTCCTCCCTCCAAAATTCACATTTCACAGGCTTCTTTCCTCCTCCTCTGCAGGAGCTGTTGCTGTTGGGCTCACCCTGCCCCCTCCAGCCAGGCTCCACTTGCGCCCCCAGTCCCTGCAGCTGTATTTACCCACGATTTGCAAAAGCAGAGGGTTCAGTATTAGTATGCCAGCTGCTTTCCAGAGTCCAATTAAAACTGGCTGAACAAACTGAAGCACAGCAGAAAATTCACCATTGAAGACTTCCAGCCTTTGCTGCCGGAAGATTACCAGGCTCTGGGGTCGCTGCCTGCATGTCCTGACAGAGCTGGGCAGATAAAATGAGATAATAGCCTGGGTTATTTCACAGCCAGCAAACAGTTACAATAGCTGGAGACACACTCACACTCACACAAACAACGCAGAGCTTGAGACATCATTACACCAAGACTGTACAGTGAGGGCAGGAGACGTGAGCTGAATCCCTGAGCCACATGGAATCTGCTTGGAAAAGAGGAAGACCCAATAAAGAACACCAATTTCCACTCCGAGCCATTAGATACTTCATGCTGTGAATGTAATAACAATAATATCCTACCCAGCTATTAAAAGTATGTTGTTCTTAATGGGGGCTAATGAGGATATCAGTTTCCTAGTGCTGGATGGGTGATGGAGGGATAGGAAAATACCAAGATGGATTAACCAGCCTGAGGTGGGATGGATTTCAACCCAGATGCAAGAGCCTGCTCTAGCTGCATCCAGCCATAAAATCATGGAATCATTAAGGCTGGAAAAGACCTCTAAGATCAGCAAGTCACAGAATCACAGAATAGCCTGAGTTGGAAGGGACTCACAAGGATCATTGAGTCCAACCCCTGACCCTGCACAGGACATCCCCTGTTGGAGATCTCACCTTGGGAGATCAACCCTCTTGGGGTTGCACATCACACCATGTGCAACCATTAACTCAGCTTTGGTCCATTAGGTTTCACTCCCAACCCGGTAGGCAACCAGCTGCATTTGCTTTTCAAAGTGCTAAAGGTGCTTTTCTTAAGCAAAAATTATCTGGGCCACTCCTTTTTCCCTAAGGAATTGTCTTGGAAAGGCAGGGTGGGCTCTGACTCCTCTGCACCACACTGGCAGTGAGAGAGGATCCTACATATAGGTCTTCTGCCCAGACCTAGCAGAGGTTTCTGCAAGAATAAGGAAAAGCAGGCAGCAGTTGCTGGCTGGGGAGTTCTTCCCAGCCTGACATGACTTGCTGCATCCCCCTGCACATTTCCACCTCCCCTGGCGGAGGCTGAATTCACACCACAGCAGTCGTGGCCCAGCTGCACGGTCGGAAGGAGGTGGCCTTGCAAAATAATTCCAGGGAACCAAAAATAATCCTTCCCAGGAAGCAGCAGCCTGGTAAATCACTCCTCCTGCTTTCTTTCAGTTTCTTTTGCAACTCAAAAGAACATCAGAACTGCTCCCAGGCAGCAGAGGAGCACCAGGGTGGGGGCTATTCCTACAAGGGTAGGAGAGATTATCCTCTTTCAGCTGATGCAAGGTCAAACTTTGGCTCCCATCAATCTCATGCCTGACCATTTTAGTAGCAATGAAACAGCTGAGTCATAAAACCCTCCCCTTCCAAATATTAAAAAAAAAGGAGGGGAAAAAAAGAACTGGGAAAAAAAAAAACCCAGTGCAGGGTCTGTAATGGAAACACTAAGCGGCTCCAGCTGGAACATCTGTTCAATGTGATTTCCGTTCCACCAGCCACATCAAAGTCAGCCTCCTGTGAGTTATGTGCCGAACATCACAAGTGGGATTAAAATCATGTTTAATAGTTTGATATGCCATAAACTATTTATACTGCAGGAGCCCAGTGGCTCCATGGAAATGCACACCCAGCGTGCCGGGGTGGGGAGGAGCAGGGTTATTGCTTATCCAAAGCCATTCGCTCCAAGCCTCTGCACACACATGTGCAGTTGCTCATTTTTACACCTTTTTTTGTCATGGCAAGAAGGGATTTCACTGCATCTGTGTGGTTTTGCAGGAGGTGGGAGGAGGAGAAGGAAAGCAGAGGGCGATGAGGGGCACATCGCTGTGTTGGAGGGTCTCCTGCTGCGTTTATCCTTGGAGCACTGGAGTGTTTAATTCCCTTTTGTGCTTCCCACTGGGGAGTGGGAAAGCTCAGGGCTGAAGAGGCATCTTAGCCTCAGAGCAGAGATTTGGAAGGGCTTGTCCACAGGGGAGAATAAAGCAGAGGTTTGGAAGGGCTTGTCCACAGGGGAGAAGATGACGGAGAACGATCTGCACCTGGCGGTGCAAGAGCCAGCACAGTGCCCACAGCCCGTGGAGCTCAGCCCGAGGCCATTCCCCAGGTGCTGAGTGCTTGAGGTGCCCCGAGGGGCTTGCTAAGGTGCCTCCAGGGCTGCCCAGGAGCTGTGTTGCTCCCCCAGCGCGACGCGTACCTGGGCGTGAGCACTTGTGCGCTCTCCTCCCAGCGCCTGTGGGTTGGCTCCATCCGATTCCATCACTCAAATTAATTACAAGAAGCCAGGCAGGAATTATAATTGTAACCGAGTGGAATTACATTCTGATGAGTTACGATTTGTGTCTTTTTTTTCCCTCGAAAATGCCCCAAAACATGCTGGCACTACCCCACGCTAACCGTGGCACCCGCAACATTCGCAAGCCCAATCCCATTTGTGAAAGGAGAGATCAAAGACTTTAATTCATTTCCTTTGCTCTTTTTTTTTTTTGTCTTTTTAATCTTTTTTTTATATTATTTGGAGTGCAGGAGGGAGCTGGGCTCATTTTAATACAAAGAGGCTCCTCGGTAAATCGTAGGCACCGCTCCTAACCCATCAAACAATGGGGAAGCTACTAAAGAGAAGTGTGATTCATACTTAACAAAGGAAGGTGATTAGCTGTTGTTGTCTAACAATAGGGAAGTGTCAGGATGCCTGGGAATGAATTAGGAGCCCACTATACATCTCTGGGCTGTTATGTGAGGGAAGCTCATTTATATTCCCAACTGCGCCCATCTTTATTGTCATTTGAATTGCACATTTTAAAATGAAATTAGGGTAAATTGAAAATACCTATAATTTCCCTGTCATAATTTCCCATCAGGAAGGCAGGTGGCTTTGCTCGCAACAAAGCCAGGCTCGGGCTGGGTAAATACCACAGGGTGGAGGAGGCAACGAAGCCTGGAGCACAGTGCTCAACACTACCAGAACACTGTCTTTCCCCCTCCCCTCCTGCCCAGCCAAGGCCACCTCCAAGATGCCCAAGCTGCTGGCCTTGCTGTGAGGATGGTCCCAAACCATCCTGCACCTCGCAGGGTTGGAATAACACAAGGTTCCTTTGGATGTTGACATGCTGTTCTCACACCAGTGTGCCCAGTTGGAGCCTGAACCCTCCAGGAAGGTGTTGAGTAGTTCACAGATTCACAGAATATTTGGAGTTGGAAGGAACTCTTGGCCCTGCTCAGGACACCCCAGCAATCCACCCTGTGCCTGAGAGCATTGGCCAAACACTCCTTGAGCTCTTTCAGGCATGGGGCCATGACCAGTGCCCTGGGGAGCTGTTCCAGTGCCCAAACACCTCTGGAGGAAGAACCTTTTCCTAATATACAACCTAAACCTCCCCTGACACAGCTCCATGCTGTTCTCTCAGGTTCTGTCACTGGTTGCCAGAGAGCAGAGATCAGAGCTGCCTCTGCACTGCCCCTCATGAGGAAGCTGTATACAGTGATAAGATCTCCCCCCAGTCTCCTCTTCTCTAGGCTGAACAGACCAAATGACCTCAGCTGCTCCTCTCAAGGCCCTTCACCATCTTCATTGCTTCCTTTGGACATTCTCCAATGATGTAATATCTTTCTTGTATTGTGGTGCCCAAACCTGCACACAATAGTCACATCAGCACAGAGCAGAGCAGGCCAATCCCCTCCCTCTCCCTCTGGCCATGCCTTGCCCCAGGACAGGCAGCTGCCAGGACATTGCTGACTCATATTCAACTTTCCATCAATGAGGACCCCCAGGTCCCTTCCTGCAGCACTACTTTTCAGCATCTCATTCCCCAGTCTACATGGACATCCATGGTTGCCCCTTTGCCAAGGGCAGGTCTCTCCAGCAGGTCCCTGATGTGTGGGTGATGGAGGAAGATGGTGGAGGGAGAAGCCAGCAGGGAAATTTTCATCCCTATTAAACACTCCTTGGGCTTGGTTAGAGCCTCAGCTTCGCAGCCTCCCAGCAGTAAATCAAGCACAGGATCACGTCCGGCCCTGCAGGGCTCTGGGATGCCCACCCACACATGAGGCCAAGGGAGGTCCCCTGGGCCAGTGGGTGCCAAACAGCTTTTCTGACCCCCTGCCCTGTCTGCTCAGGTGCAGGTTCTCCCCATTATCCAGCTGGGAAGAATGTTGCTGAGATATTCAGGAAGGGGAGGGAGGCAGCAGGCAAAGGTGAACACTTAACATGTCCTCTTTTAGGATGTATTTCTGCATATATGCAACAGACTCCCACCTCGAGGGCAGGAGAGCCCCTCAACTGGGTCAATGAGCCCCAAAACACTCTGCCATGGGACAGCTGGTTTTTCAGGCACCCAGAAAACCTTCCTCAAGGCCACTTCTTTCCGCTTTTTCCCTTCAAATGAGGTCCCATCCTTAAAACCTAAAGCTGGAGGTCTGACAAACCCCTCAAGACATCATGAAAAATTAAAACACCTTTAGATATCCTAATTCCCATGTAAACATTGCACCCTTTTCTCTATTGCTTTCACTAGTTCTTTCCTAAATATTCCTAACTGTATTTGCTGCTAAAGCATTTAGATGCTTCTCATGTAAAAAGGAGAGAAACTGAGCAGCAGCTGGAAGACAGGAGTGGCCTGTGACACCAGAAAGGTCTTGGCAGAGATGATTAGGCTGATGAAAGAGCAGAAATGCCACTTTCAAGTTAGAGCATAGACAAAAGATCATCATTACAGAGCGAGATATTAAACGGGAGTGTCTCAAAGCAGGAGAGTTTATGTCCTTAAACACAAGTCAGATCCAACATTGGCATTTTTGAAATGAAATGTTACATCGAACGTTGTCTGTGGCTCCTCTTCCTGTCTTCTTTGCTGAAGCCCTCCAAGACAAGAGCAGCATTCATGGCATCAGCCTGTCTGACAAGCATTATATGGCTGTGAACTGAAAAATGGCTTCACACTGACAGAGGACAAAATTCTTCCCTGTGAGGGTGGTGAGGCACTGGCACAGGTTGCCCAGAGCAACTGTAGCTGCTCCATCCCTGGAAGTGTTCCAGGCCAGGTTGGACAGGGCTTGGAGCAACCTGGGCTGGTGGAAGGTGTTCCTGCCCGTGGCAAGGGATTGGAATGAGATGAGCTTTAATATCCCTTCCAACAGAAACCATTCTATGATTCCATGATCTCACAGCATCAAGGAGCCTCAGTGCTTTTGCCAAGCTTTCTTATGGCCAAATTTTGCTTTCCAGGCTCAGAATCTGGCAGGCAGCAGGCAAGGGGAGTCTGTGCCCTGTCTTTGGGTCTTTCATGGGCTTGTCTCTGTCTTTGCAGACCCACCCCTGGTGAACCTGTCCGTGGAGCCACAGCCGGTGCTAGAGGACAACACTGTGAAGTTCCACTGCTCTGCCAAGGCCAACCCTGCTGTCACCCAGTACAGGTAAGGCAACCACCCTGCTCAGGGCACCACACACTGTCTGCTGAGAGCATCCCTCCTTCCCCCTCTGCAAGGCTTCAGGTGACCCATGCTCGCTCAGCACCTCGGGCTGTGATTTCTGTGGCCATTCCACTTCCTGCCACGTTTCTCACTGCTTGGTGCTTATTGTGGCTCATCCCCATGACCTCTGCTGTCCCCCAGATGGGAGCTGTGATGGCTGGAGCCAATCCTTGATCCCCACAGAGCAGCAGATCCCTCACGTGGCTCTATCCTCATCCCAACACCGCACGCCGACGCTCCCTCCTGCCCCTCTCGCCGCGATGATGTTGTCAGGGTGGAAAGGCTCCGCTCGCCGCCGCGTTCGGCGTCTGCCGCGTTCTGCTGCGAGCAGCAACTGCTCGGTCAGGGATTCACGGGCGCTCGGAGCGGATCGAGCGGCCTGGCACCGAGCTGTGCTGCCATCTGTTCAGGGACATAACGAGCAGCATGTGCCGACTGAAAAGTCTATTATGAGAAAATTCCTCTCGCTTTTTGCATACTCTTTTATGATTTGAACAATGCAGCTCCGTCGCCGTCTCTGAGTAACCCTTAAGCAACCACTGTAAGCCTCTCTATCCCCAGCAGCATGGAGATGAGTTTGGAAGGGCACAGAGAGAGAAGTGGTGCCTGGGTTGGAGATGGGATTGGGCTGGAGATGGGTACACGGGGATTGGGCTCTCCTTGAGTGGGACATTCTCCATGAGTGGGTGGGATCATCGCTGCTAGCTGAGGTCTGCAGTGCCCCTGCACTGGGCACAGTGAATTTGGAGCAGTGTGTGAGGGTTAAGGAGAACTGCAGGAAGAGAAAATGCATCACCTGCAGCTGCAGGAGGTCTGGGGTGCAGGTGGTGTGTGGGGATCCTGCCTGCACCTCTGCACCAAGCCAGCCCCAAGGCTCCCTTGGTCCTCCTCTTCTCTCTGGTGATCAGTGACAGAACCTGAGGGAATGGAATGGAGCTGTGTCAGGAGAGAGTTAGGCTGGATATCAGGAAAAGATTCTTCCCCCAGAGGGTGTTTGGGCACTGGAGCAGCTCCCCAGGGCAGTGGTCACAGCCCCAAGCCTGACAGAGCTCCAGGAGTGTTTGGCTAATACTCTCAGGCACAGAGTGGATTGTTGGGGTGTCCTGTGCAGGGCTTGATGTTGGACCCAGTGATCCTTGTGGGTCCCTTCCAGCTCAGGATATTCTATGATTCTATGAGTACTCAAGCAGGGATTGATGCACAGGACTCTAACACAACTGTATCCTGCTCACCATGCCACATTGAGTTGGTCACTGCAGGTGAGCAGATAGCTCTGCACTGAGCAGATGCACCATGGTCCTTTGGGTGTGGGTGTGAGGGCTGCTAAAACACCCCTTCTCTCAAAGGTTTTGTGATCTAAGCAGATAAACTATGGGTATGGAAAGCAGGGCAGATTGCCAGCACACTTTGCAGGGGGAGAGAGCATCATGTAAACAGGTACATTCCTGGCCCACCACTTCCATCAGCTGCTCATCCCTCTGCCTGGAAGCCCTGAGTGCACATGCACCAACACACCACCCAGTCACAGGCTCTGCAGCAGCATCCGTGGATAATAACAGAGGAGGCACCTCGAGGGACAGGTTACCATGACCTGCCTCCTGTTAGGCTTGTACAGCTTAATTAGTACAATCGAGTTTCCTGGTAGGAACGATTCCTTCCAGCTGGATATCTGCTATCAGCACAACAACGCTGTAATTGCGTTCCTGGTTACACACAAGAGTTATTAATTTGAGAAGTCAATTAATGTCAAAGATACAAATAGCCCTGGTTTCATATTTACACTTAGGAGGAAAATGAAGTGTGTGACAGTCTGGGTGAAGGGCCCACGTGGCTCTTCCACCAGGATTGATTATGGTACAGTCCAAGGCAAAACAACCACCTCAGGCTGAGGAACCAAACCGTGGCAAAAGCCTGGCAAAATTTCTGCTCCATCCTCAGCAGTGGAACTTTCCATGCCATCCCTGAACCACCCTGGGCTGATCCCCTATGCACTGGAGCAGCCATCAAGGCTCCAGTCTGGGTTATTCCCTTCCTCGGAGAGGGATCTTGGACAAGGGCATGGAGTGATAGAACAAGGGGGAATGGCTTCCCATTGCCAGAAGGCAGGGATAGATGGAAGAATGGGAAGAAATTGTTCCCTGTGAGGGTGCTGAGGCACTGGCACAGGTTGCCCAGGGAGGCTGTGGCTGCTCCATCCCTGGAAGTGTTCAAGGCCAGGTTGGACAAGGCTTGGTGCAACCTGCTCATGGCAGAGGTTTGGAACAAGATCATCTTTAAGTTCCCTTCCAATCCAAACAATTCTAGGATTCTGTGATTCCTCTTGGCTTTTTCCACTCTGTGGATCCATGCCCAAACCAAGCTGGGTTGATTTCCTCCAGCAAGCAGAGTTGGACCTGTGATGCTTCTCCCACCTCTGGTGCCATCTCGGTAGCACAGAGATTTTGCTGTCCTGTCTGACTGCAAATGCCATCCTCAGCCCTCTTCTTTCCTCTCACCCATCCCAAGGCCATGGGTCTTGTCACCCTCCCAGTTCCTTGAGTCTTGGTGTTTCCACTTTGTTGCAAAGGGTTTGGGGTTTGTCTCATGATGATTTTACTATCAAAAGTAATTGCGTATTTTTTTTCAGGTTGTGCTTTCTCATGAAAGTAGTTTTTTGGGGGGAAAAACAAAAAGAGAGATGAAAAATTCAAGCACTTTGGGTTTTTTATTTCTTGAGTTCTCTTAACGTGTAAACTTCACACAAGGCTTTTTTCCCTACCACTGTGACAAGCAAACAGGATTCAGCAGCGCTCGGTGGGGCTTCCTTCAGCTTAATGGCTCTGATTGATGGAACAGGGATTCATTTCCCTTCCAAAGGATCCCAAAGCTCTTCACTAACTATGTAAAGGTGGCAGATGTTTCAGCACTGAAGCTTGGAGTCCTCTGGAGTGGGACATCCAAGCAAGGAGCCCCTGCACATCACCACTGCCAAGGAGAGGAGGGTGGATATGTAAAGCCTCAGGATTGAGATATCTGGAGGTTTGAGAAGGTGGAACATGAGCTCAGTGCCATCCTCAGGGTCCCTCACACCCCCTCACTAATGAAAATGAACTTATTCTGCCTTAAAAACAAACAATAGAGAGAAAGTGTGACTTTTTTTTCTCCTCAGCAGAATACCATTCTGATGTATTTCCTATGGCTTCCCTCCTCCTTGAATAGATCTTCAGTCCATATTTATTTTTAATCCCCCCCAATATGTTTGACAGGAAAAAGCTCTGAACACAAAGGAAGAATGTCTCAACAACACAAATCCAGTTTTCTGGGCATAAATCCACAGCCAGCTCCATGGGTCCATCCCTGCTTCCAATACAAGCTGTCACCTTGCTGAAATTTTTAAGGGGTGAGAGGTTTTGCAGCAGGTTTGCAGCCCAGGTTTTTCTGGCTGGGAAAAGTACATGAGGTTGAGCATCTCACCCAAAGGTGCTCCCCTGGGCAGCATCCATAAACTGGGCTGTTTGTTAGGAAGAAGCCACTAAACCACCCCCATGGTCCTGGGATTTCAAGCCCAGACCCCTCAGTGGCTCTGTTAAGGGGTAAGGGAAAAGAAACCAAATTCAACACTATTCCCCAAGAGGCAGAAATCTCCCTCTGCCCCTACAGAGAACATAGTTCTGATGAAATCAAGGCAGCTGCTTTTTCCTTAAGAGATTTTCTTTGTGCTTTCTTCTATAATACATCACACATGGTAGGTTTTAATGCAGGGAAAACCTGGTTGGAAAGGAGAACTCGGAGTGATCTGCAAGTTACAACCTGCACTATGTCTTCTCTTCTGGGAGGGGTTAATGCCATTTTGTCCAAATTGACAGATTTCCATGAAATCTTTGGCCTCAGTGGCATTTTCTAAGCCAGAATCCCTCTTCTTTAAAATCTGCTGGCATTTCGTGACCCTGGGGAGAAGGCAGGGCTGGGGCAGGGTGTCTTGTGCTCCTCTGCTTCTTTTCCTTAGCTGGAGCTGAAGTGCCAGCCCTCCTGCCTCACTGGCAGCAGCCATTTCTTGACAAGGAGCATCTTTTTCCCTAGGGAAGTTTGTTTGCCCATGATGTCACTTGGGCTGTCACTCGCTTTAGGACACAGGACAGGCTGGTGTCACCAAAAGCAGGTGGAGGGAGTCAGGCAGTGGCTGGTGAGGTGTCACAGTGATCCTTCAGCAGGGGGTTCTGGCGCAGGGATAAATTAACCCTGGCAGCAGGGGTTTGCTCATTTCCATGTTTTCCCTCTCTCCACATAGAGCAAGCTCTGTGCAGACATATCCTATGGCTTCTATAGGGTCTTATACCCTCTCTGGCCTGGATTTCTCCCACTTCTGCCTGGCAACACGTTCCCCATGGTGCTGAAGAGCAGCTCAGCCCACCAAAAAGCTCCTTGGGGCTGCCAGTGCAGCATCTTCTACTCTGAATAGGCTCGAGAGGACCATGTGGATGTGTCCTCATCTGCTTTAGCAAAATGGACATGGGGTTGGAAGCCCAAAGAGGCTCCTTGGTGTCCCAAGGGCAGGGGGGGAATGCTGCCCTCTCCTCTCCCCTTGCCTGGAGCCGCTGCCAGGCTCTGCCAGCCCATTTGCAGGTGGAGCATCCCGATGCCAGGCTGGAGCACACAGCTCCGGCGGACAGTCAGCATATGTGCAGGCACATCCCACCACCTCACCTTCCCCCAGCAACTCACTTCCCACATGTCTCTGCAGCTTGGTGGACCCTTCTGCGAAAGGGTGGGGGGGAATTGGGAATTTACTGGCTTTCTTTTGCTGCAAGCAAACGGGCAGGAAAGGGAAAGGGAGAGTAATTAGCTGTCGCCGTTGTTCTGCCACCTGCGATGGTGGGTAAAATTAATGGAAAGCAACAGAAGTCAGGGCTACGTGAACCGACTCCCAACCAGGACTCCTCTTTGCTCCCTTCAGATCTCTCTAT